ATATCGGAGGATGAAATGAAATTTATGAACAGTAAATTATGTACTTCCCTGGTAGAAATGTAGAATTACGTGTACCAGATATGCAGCACGTATTGTAAACATTAGAAATGTCAGTACAATTTTACTCGGTTTTAACGCAATATTTTGTATGTAGTGCATTCGTCCGATTAGTTTGGTATTTATTACGAGACTGCGTTTTTATGTGTGTTACTGAAAATTCTTTAACTTTTTGCGTTATGTCTAATAAGTTGATGATCATTTTAATGTTGATTTTAGGTTTCTTAAAAATGTTTTTTTCTTCAGTTTGCGTCGAGGACCTGGGGCGAATGTGCAGGACAGCAGTGGATATTCAGCCCTCCACCACGCGGCTCTGAACAGTCACAGGTAAGACTGGCAGCCACGAAATGGTTCATTCCATTCTTCTTTTGCTATGATGTTTCCGGGCTTCGTAGCAAGTGTCCATAAAATTATTTTCGTTGAAAGAACCTCTCTCTCGCACCTCGTCCTTGTTATTCCAGGGAGGTTGTCCAACTGTTGCTGGCCCACGAAGCGTCCACCAACATTCTTGACGTGAAGGGTTCTTCCCCGCTGCACCTGGCGGCCTGGACCGGCAACGTGGACATCGTGAGGCTGCTCCTTTGTCGCGGGCCGTCCGTCCCGAACGTCAATCTAACAGTGAGTGGCGCCATCTTATTCTAGATTGCATTGTATATATATGATTCGGCACTTCTGGACGGAAATTGCCACTTTGACCCTGAGTGTTGTGACGAATATTTTCCAGTCTCGAGGGTCTGGATTCAGATTAGGTCTCGAAGACCTTCCTTCTTCAGTGTTCCTCTACGGCAGCCGTGTGTTGTTACGAAGCGGTGTAAACAGCTCAATAAATGTGGGGTGGATGACGGTCCAGGACGTGATTAAGACACGGGGGGTGGCAGGGACGGATGGGGGAGCAAGTGGGGTTGAGTTTGCTCGTTAATCACGAACGTCATCACCACCAGCTGTTTGCCTTTGACCCACAGCAACATCTCTACAAATGTCTGCCATCAATTGGTCACTGACTAACTTCTTGTCCATTTAACATGAAGCAATATGAGTACAGTAGTTACTGAGGGCTTGTAGTACTTCACCCAGGGCAAGGGGGGGGGGGGTGCAACCTGCAGTTTAATTAGAAGTAATGTTCTCCTTCATTACCCTGCCCTTTTACAGCAAGAGAAACTACTGGGGTCCCGAAGTACGGAACAAGTAGGTTGTGTCAGGGTTGTCGAATTAGGCCTGGTAGTATGGACGCTGTTACTAGGGGTGAGTGCTAACACAGTCTCGCTGATTTAACTTAGGTTCTTGTCTCTCACCAAAAGGGATGAGCTCTGACCATGACATTTGAGGTCTTGATGATGGTGACAATTTGGATTGCGATCTTGTGGATTTTGGCGCCATATAGTCTTTTGGGGTTTCCAGCGTTTCGGAGGATGAAATTGCCTCCGTCTTCATGTCTGTCCTGAAGATGGGGCCAGTATGTTCTTCCGACACGTTTCTGAGGATGGGATTTGGTGTAAGACAGTGGTCATGATCGCGATATTTTGATTCAGAAACTTTTTTTAAAAAAGAAATTCTGTGACAAATTGTGTAGTATAGTCGGCTCCGCGAACTTCGCCTTGCCAAAGGTGCGCTTGGTATGTGGGTGGTTGGCCTGACTGTACAGTGTGCTTCTACATGGCTGGGATCTGTATTTATCGGAGCGTCATGATGGAATTCGCGCGCCTCGTGGGCATCTCCATGGTGACGCATAATGCATGGCCAGCGAGCGACCACTGGTGCGTGTAGGACGAGGACATGTGACGACGCTTTCGCGATTAATTTTTAGAAGAGCTACCTATGTGCTTCACTGTTTTGTAGTGTCGTCCCCTCACTTCCTGATGGTCAGATTTGTTGTCTGTCCTGGGCGCTGTGAGATTCTGTTCGTCGACAGGGGTAGTTTTTTTTGCTGTTTACAGGCTATGGGCGGGGGTTGTGATAATCTTGTAGTGGATTGTATCTCGTAGTGTGCGTTTTAGTTTACTTACCGAGATTTGTTATCCGGTTATTCAGCGCCCATTGTCTGTAGAAAGACCCTCCAAAGATGTGATACACGCTGATAATTTTTACAATATTAGTCCTGTCAGGAACTTGACTATAAATCTTTTGCGTCATTTTTATAGGTTCGGAATATTTTTGCTAAAAACGAAAAATTTGAAAATATATACTGAATTGTAATTTTACGTGTTTTTCTGTATGAGTGTGAAACTTGGTCTTCCACCCTTAGGGAACAGCGTAGGCTGAGTATGTGTGAGGGCAGAGGACTGAGGAGAATATGTGGAACTGGAGGGCAGCAATTAACACTGGAGGGGGGGGGGGCACACAATTGCATCATCTTTTTGTACCCCTAAACAAATATTGTCACGGTATTGAAATCAAGGTGAAGTAGATGGAGGAGGTGAGGGACTAGCAGCTTGTCACTGAGAACCTTGTTTCTGTCGTGTTAGAAGGACTCAGTTATTTAAATGTATTTGTACGTGACAGGCATGAGAAATGCAGTGAAAATGTTATTTACTGGCTTTGGAATGTCTCATTATTTATGGGATTGTCTGTACTCTTTTGCTGCTTTTTAAAATGCGTGTTTGTACTTCGTGAGATACCGCCAGTTCACGTCCCTTTGAGGTTTCGTCAAGTTTTTGTGCTGAGTAGTTTTCAATAAAATAAAGGTCGTAGGAAGCCAGAAAAGAAGTATCTCTTTAAATGCATACGAGAGAATTTGGTTGCAATGCTTTGTGGATATGTAGTTAGATACCAACTTTTGGAAGGGGCATCTTGCATAAAATTTTCTTCTCTGAAGATGGAAGCGGTATATACCTCCGAAACGTTGGTGTCTACCTACAATTCCACAGGAGACGAACGTCGACCTCTTAACTGCAGCGAGAACTTTAGATGTCATTTTGTGCGATGATCTTACACGCATGGGAAAGTAGGGTTACGGAATTTGGTGTTGGGTTTGTAGTATCGGGTGCAATCGTAAGATTTTTTCTATCGTAAATCTTGTAAGGACTCAGATTAGAGACTTACCATCCTTGCCTTCAGCTTTAAACAAGTCTTCCGAATAGTTTTTCATATCTAATTATATATTTATGGAACAAAAAAATTTTGGAGTTATAACATTTGTCGTGGGTGGGGAGAGAGGGGCATTGGATTGAAGTGGCGTGGCATTCGGTTGACTGGATAACTTGTCATCTCCCTTCACTGTTTCAACATTCATCCCTCGCTCACACAACGTCAGGGCTAGCAGCCGGAAAACTGGATTACTCGTTGAAGCCAAGTGGCGGAGCGCACCAGATTTCATTTCTCTGTTCTGGAGCGCCCTTTCGCCCCCTCCTCCTGCTGTCTGTCATACGTCCCGTCATTCTTCCTTCTTCCATGTCTCTTTTTTTATTCATGCCTGTGTTCCTACTGCAACTTTTACATTATTATATTGTTTCGTACCCATCCCGATTTCCCTCTCTGACGCTCATTTCCCCCAGCGACCAATTTTTTCATATGCAAACTCAGCGAAAGGGTTTGAGGAGGACCGTGGGTTTGGGGGCTTGGGGGTGGAAACTTTTTTTTGGGGGGGGGGGGCAGTGAAAATTCTGTAGTTGAAATTTATCGGCCCGGGTTGTAATTGGCTGCTGAGAGGACGCGTACGTCGTGGCTTCAGTTCGAAGTGTGTGTGTCAGTTTCACGCGACGAACATCAACGTCTGATGCAGACGCAGCGGCGTCCGGACGCTGTGTGGGGTGGGACGACAGGAGGGGGAGATTTCTTTTGCTATCCCTCATATGTCTGCGAGCAGATAACTCAGCGCTATTTTATTATTTTTTTTACCTACTTTCCAGCAACTGAGCTTATCTGTAGTGGCCCTGTGTTTCGTGCGACACAGTGCAGAACAGTTTTGTCAGATACGGATTCGTCGTCGTCGTAATTTGAGAATTTTCCCCATATTTGCTTGATATCTGCCCAAATTCTGAATATGAGTGGTGTACGAGGTTCTTCGGGGTTTGGTTATTAACAAAAGAGCACAAATGTTTGCTGTTACAGAAGTCCTGATGGAATGCGTTTATCGCCAACCATCGTACATCCCTGATAATGAGAATAAAGTGATATTTAATATCGTGACCTAGAAGTAGATGGTAGGATGATATTAAAATGGATCTTAAATTGGGTGGGATTTAACTGTCTCATGATAGGTTTCTCTGTGCGCTATCGTGGAAAGTAGAAGGAATTTTGCTGTAACCTGTGAGACCTTAGGAACGGGAGAGATGCGTTGAGGTGTCGATGTTCCCACCAGCAACTAAAAATTCTTGCTCTTGGCTCATTTAACGATGAATTCAATTCCTCACATTATACAGTGTCGGATGATAGTATCATTAGTGAATGATGAATTGTAAATATGTGAAAGGAAGGGGTCGTGGCCTGATTTAAGGCCTTATCTTGTTTGAGGGACTGAGTAAAGCCGTAAAGAGTCTCAGGATAAGCTCGTAAATTATCGTTGTCGAGACGTGAACTCAGGATCTCTCAGAGGCGAAGCAGGAGTGCCACCCGCTCAATCGTGACCTTTGACCTGCTTCTACAGACGTGCTGGTCAGAGACTTCAAGCGTCTGTGCGTGTATGTTTGCCGTTATGCCGCGTGTTTTGTTTTTGGTGTGTTTAAAATTCAGGTAGAATATTCTACAGGGTGATCATTTGTTGCAGACGAAGGACAACGAGACCGCGCTTCACTGCGCAGCCCAGTACGGGCACACTGCCGTGGTCAGCCAGCTGCTGGAGTATTCATGCGACCCGACCATAAGGAACAGTCGGGAGGAGACAGCCCTTGACCTAGCCGCCCAATATGGCAGGCGAGTACTTTGGCCTTGAATTTACGATAGGGCCTGTTTGTTTGTTTGTCAGTTAGGGAAGGAATCGTGTTTCGACATCGCAACAGTGGGATATGAAGGAGCTCCTTTAACTTGTTTTTGCCTCTGACGATGGACGTGGAGCCGCGAAGCAAGTATCCTTCAGGGCTTGCTTCAAGCTTTGGTCCGTTTCTTTTCCAGGCTGGAGACGGTGGAGCTGCTTGTCCGAACACATCCGGAACTGATCCAGCCTTACTCACGGGGGCACTGCACCCTGTTTCGACACACGCCCCTCCATCTAGCCAGTCGCAACGGTCACAAGTAAGTGTCAATCCGACGTCGCGGTGTCTTGATGTTGTCCGATTGAAGATTGATGTGGCAGCGTTGTCAAATGCTCACTGAAGGAGTTACGAAAATTATTTTAGGTTTTGAGACGTTTTAAGTGCGTTGCCATCCAAAGTCTCTTCTGCGTTGTTTTTAATCAAAATCACTCGTTGCTTACTTATGTGTTCTTTTTCCTCGTTTTAATAATTCTTTTTACAGAGCCAAGTGGATGAGGTGGACAGAACAAATTAGGAAACATGACAAATGAATACGAAATTTTAGGCGGACAACCTGTAGGTAGAAGTTTACTTGGGAGATAATTTAAAATTAATATTAAAGAATTAGTACGCGTGGTCGTCGATTGGATTCAAGTGACGAACACTGTCATGGACTTTCGGGTCTGATGAAAAAAATGTAATTTATTAAACCTGAACGACTGCCAACTTGTCAGCAAGGACTCTGTTCCATGTTTTTGTGTTCAGAAGCGTTGATACGTCCAGACTGAACGTTTCTTCGACTCCCACTGTAGGTTTCCTCTGCGTTTTCTCTCAGGCAGCCAACTTGTAAGTAGAAACTCGGTTTGCGAGCGAGCTCGGACAACATCTGCCCGAGTTTTGAATTTCCCACTGAGATATACTTCAATGAATGCCCGTCTCGTGTTTTCCTTCTTAGAAATGAAACACGCTTTGCATAAAAATTTGCCTAAATTTTTGCCTACTTAAATTCATTCGCTTGTTTTTAGTACTGGGGTAAAAAAAAAACCTTCTGTGTTCTATAGAAGGTGGTTGCCTCCTTTTTGACTTGTGTCATTTTTGTAAAATTCTTTATTTCTCACTCGTCCTTACGTGAACTCATTTGAAACCCGCGCGTTCTCTGATGTTAACTTTATTGCAATTGGAAACAAGGCCAGAAATGGGAGTTTTAGTGAATGTTCTCTAGTTAATCCAATATGCTGCTGCTTTTGAAGGCGAAGGGACTGGTGGGGGGGTTATATTTGCTCTGAATAAGCGTGTATACATGATTTTTACGTCAAAGCTCGGCGTCTGACGCTTGCAACGACTGCTCTGGTATTGGCGGTCCGTATGGCGACGTACCCCGCGTGATATGCGATTGAACTCACACGGGGATTATTCTGCAACGTATTTTCCAATCACCAGTTGACCAATGCAATCCAATCCGATCCCCCCCCCCCCCCCCCTTCGCCTCATGCTCTCGCAGCATCCAGTATATGTGTCGATTTACTTCCCGTTGAATGCATCGTGATGAGCTCATGCGAATTAGGGACTGGAATGGACTGGACCAGCCTACATTCACGTCGCTGTTGCATTTCTGTGTGTGTCTGTGTGTGTGGATTGTTACATGTGCGGGCAATATTGGTCTATGTTTGCCTACGTCACTGTATTCTTTTTTTTTTTTTGGTTCATAATTTCTAAAAACAAATTATTATACAACGCAAACCAGGTGTTTCAAATGCCACGCGTGACTTCGTTTCCACATGCGTCGTTGCAACGAAATTAATAGAAGGCTGTGCCGTGTGAAAGTGAAATCTGAAATTCTGAACGTGCATACAAGTGCATGTCGATGAAATGCAGGTTTTGGGGCGAGTTGCAGTTTGAAAATTAATCGTTAGAGAAGAATTAATGTGGATATGGCTGTCTTCTGGGTTGTTGCGCCGTGTACTTAGGTGGATGTTTCCCCGACGTTTCGGAGGTGCTAGCTCCATCATCTGGCCCGACCGGATTACACCGCGCCTTGAGAACCTCAGCTCTTACCATCGTGAAGGTCATAGATTGGAGGATAATACTAAGTTGTGTTCTAGGAAAGTAGGATGTGAGGATAGTGGGCCGATTGAACGGAATTTGACAAAACAATATTTCTCTATATGAGGAACTAAAACTTACGCGCGAGCCGGACTGAATCGCGGTTTGTAGTTTACTACACTCTCATAGCTGCTCCTAGTTTAATGGGCGGGACACGTAGTACGCATGGGCGACGTGACGATTACACACAAATTGTTGGTTTTAAGGCCTGAAGGGAAGAGACCATTCGGAAGACCTAGGCGTTGATGGAAGTATAATATTAAAATGTGGGAGACGTGAGCGCTTACATTCCAAAGGTGTTCGTCACGTTGGTAATTAGACACGGACGGCCTCATAAGGTGTTCTTTGCTCGCGCTAGAGCGTCAAGAACACCCAAGAACTTGATCTGGCATAATTACGTTCGTAATTTGGCTCAGGATAGTCTGGCTGCGGGCTGTTGTGAACGCGGTAATGAACATTCGGGTTACATAGAAGGCGGGGAATTTTGTGACTAACTACCTGAGCGACGGTCAGCGTCTGAAGGACAATTGTCCGTCGAAGTATTGAGTTGCTCGGATATGTATTTATTGTTTAAAAGTAGTCTCTTTCGTAGTTGGACGTCTGCATTTCGTATGCAGTGATTGGATTCAGGTGTCCTTTAGGTGGTCCTGGTCACTCTCAGACACGCCTCGCGTTGGTCACGTGTGGGCATGTCCGTTGTATGAAA